GACATTCGAGGACACAGGTAAAACACCTCTGTCAGCCCAAGCCCGATTTTGCTTCCCTTTTCTTTGCTTGGGCCCTCAAAAGCTGAGGGTTACTGTATGTCTCTTTTTCTTAAAGAACTCTGTGGTATCTTGAGTGAAAGAACATTTATAAAACTTAGTAGCTACCTAGAGCCTCTGAATGCAGTGGTAGACCAGTGCTGGGTGTTTGTTTGAGAGCAGGGAGCTGGTCTGGGCCTCATTTTTCTGGAATCTCATTTGACTTTATGATTGGATATTAGGTCTTTACATTCATTTTGGCTTAGTAGCATTCCAGAAATAATGATTCAGAGTTTAAAAACCTAGCTGTAATAACTAAGGCAGATAGGAAGAGGTAAGGAATCTTTGATATTAAATTTGTTCTGCTTACAGTTTTAAGTTTTCTTGTATGAGAGCTGGTTTGTATGGTGAATATGGGTAATAAGAAAGGTTAGTATAATAGGGCTTCACCTTGCATTTTGGACCTGCTTTTTGTAAAAGAAATATTTTAAACTAGAATTGTATCTCTATTAATCTGTATTATTAGAATCAGATTTGCTTGTTACATTCATTGTTTTGTTCTCTCTGTTGACCTGATTGGAAGAGGCCTTGGGAAAGTCTGACCCTGTTTCAGGACTTAAACCTGAATTTCATAACAGTTCCAAGTTGTGAGAAAACATAGGTCTAATGTTTGTATTTAAAAGGTAAGGGAGGAGTGTAACTCAGTGGTAGAGCTCTTGCCCAATATGCACCAGACTTGGGATCAATCACTGCAAAATCAGTCATTGCAAAAATAAAAAAAATTCGGGAGGAGGGGGTGAAGGAAGGGGAGGAACAAGGGGAAAAAAGGAGAACCAAGACTTATCAGGTAAAGGTACAAGATCCCAATGATGAATGTAACTGTGATGTATACCTAAAATGTACCAATAAACTCAATGAGAGAATAAATAAATAAAATAAAATAAATTTTATATGGTGGTACACATCTGTGATCCTAGCACTCTTAGGAGGCTGAGGCAGGAGGATCACAAGTTTGAGCCTTTCTTGGGCAATTTAATGACTTAATGAGACCCTGTCTCAAAATAAAAAGATTTTTTAAAAGGATAGGGGAGTAACTCAATGTGAAAACCCTGGGTTCAATCCCTAGTACCTCAAAAAAAAATATTAAAAGCTGTAGAAACTATGAACCACTTGTAAAAGAATACAGCACATTTTAACATCTTAATTTCCAGGTACTTGATTTACAGGGATCGCTTACCTCAGATGGGAACAGTAATCTGTTTTGGAAGCTTTTCTGTGAGAAGTGATTATTTTTATTTCCTTTTATTTGCTCTCAGAATTCTTATGAATCAAATAATCGTTCCAAGATTTTAATAAATAAGCAATGAGAGTGCAGTTGGGGGCAGAGAATTGAGTCCATTTTTTCTGGCAATTTCAACGCTATTTTTGTTGTTTGGCTTGTCTTATTCTTGCCTGTGCCACTAGAGGCTGTAGTTTGCTTGCACAACGAATTGGCATCATCTGTCTTGAACCAGCTTTGGAGAAAGAAGCTGGGCATAGCACTGAAATGGGCTGACTTAGCTACAAGTGCTGGGGACGTGTTCCCCATTCAAGTGACTTCATTTGTACCTTACACTATTTTAAATTTTTTTCTCATCTGTAGTACAATATTGTGTAAGATTTAAGTATTTTAGTATTGTTGGGATTTACAGAGTGAGTCTGGAATAAGTATGTGAGGAATTGATACCATAAACACATGACATATAGTAAATGTATCCTTACTTTGTTTTCACACCGATACTGATTATTTTATGGACCTTGGAAAGTGCTTACTCCATGCCTGGCACACAGTGAGCATTCACTAAAAAAAAATTCACTTGCTGTTATTGTGATTTTAAATTCTCAAGAAGACAGTTCTAGATTTATAAGCTTCAGTATGACTTTACGAACCTTAATACTATATTTAAATTTTGTTCTGAAATACTCTATTCTCAGCATTAGTATTTATGTGAAATAATTGTAAAAAATACTTCGTCTATTGCCTAGTGATGGAGAATGTATGGTATCATATGTCTCCTACAGTTCTGTGTTTTAAATATTTACGACATGTAAAATTTGTTCACTTTTTTCAAGTGAGTATACTTCCATGTGTGATTTAAGAGAATTAAATCTAAAGAAAATGAGGATATACTTTATCAGTCTTTTGTAAAAGATGTTTGTTATGATCACCATTTCCTACAGTATTTGCAAGTATACACTTTTTTAAAATGTGTTTTATACATCAAGGCTGTGATTGTTGCCAGGCAAAGGTGTCTGGGTTTGTTTATGAATCATCCTATTAAACATGAATTTACACATACCTCACTAATAATTGTTTCATAGCCATCTGTTCCAGATGTCATTAAATTCTACAGCAACTCATCTCTGTGCTGTGGGGGGACTATTATCCACCTTCCCTCCCAGTTATTAAAACTGGGAGAAAATTTTTGTTTGGAAACCTGTTCGGCAGCACGTTTAGAGTGGAGCATATGACTGTTACGGAACACAGAAGATGAGGGAAGAAGGAGTGTGTTCACATCAGAGTTAGGGAAAGCAGAGGGACTGGGAGAAAGAACAGTAGGGAATCAGAGCACAGCCCTGGGCCGTTTCTGGGAACACCGAGGTCCACATGACAGTTGAGGCATTTGGGAGACACCCAGGTCTTGACATTTGAGTACTGGTCACATGCTCACGATTAGAGTTCACGAAGTTTTGTTTTTCCTCAGCCTCTGAGTAGGCACCACTGTTCTGCAGCCTTCAAATAGCGAAGGAAAAACAGAGCTGCTTTATGTGATCTTCCGTGCTTTTTCTCTTGATTTTGCTGTTCACATTCCCTATTTTCCCATGCATGAACCTCTAGCCACTTGCTGGAAGTACTTGTTTATGTTAAGAGAGGTACTGATGAGTTGGGAATCGATTTTAAAACAAAAATGTGCTTTTCAGAATTAGGTGAAGTAGATGACAAAGTAAAAGGAAATTTGGTTTACAGTTAAATCATAAACAGGGAAGAAAATAGTGATGATCTGACTAAGCATTGATTTTCTTTTCTTTATACTATTTTAGTGGCTTAAAGGAGTAGAGTAGTGCTTAGCCCCATATTAATTCGTGCACTTCTCACTCTTACCAACACTGCACTTGGATTTCTCTCCATTCCTATATTTCTGTCTACTTTATAAGCCATGAAGTACCTGGTCCAATCTATCAATTCTTACAACTTAGGTTTTTATATTTAAATGTTAACATTTAAATCACTTTATAGAAAGTCATATAAAACAACTTCCTTTACAGTTTGACGTTTTTTTAGGTCATGTATATAATCTTACTTTTCTTTAGTTGTTCTTTGGTTAAAAAAAAAAGTACTGCTATAATATATCTCAAAGCACATTTATGTTTTAACTCTTTGGATGAACTTTACCGTTTATTCAAATAATAAAATTACATTGTTGCAAGGAATCTTTTGCTTAGTTTTCAAGCAAGATGAAAAGAAAATTTTGTGGGCCGGGGATTTAGCTCAGTGGTCCCACTGCCTGCCTCACAAGCCCAGGGTTCCAAGTTCAAACCCTGGTACTAAAAACAAAAGAAAATCTTGTGATTTCTGCATTGATAACTTTTCATGTGCAATCTGAAATAGTGAAGTTATAAATAAGTTAGCTGTTTCATTATTAGTTTCTGTAAGGGAAAAATAACTGAAGCAGCAAGCTTTTAATATTTTTTAGTCTAGTGTACCAGACGTACTGTGATTTGCTCACTGCCCTGCTTACAACCTGCATTCATATGACTCTCCTCTGCCTCTCTAAAATTAGTTCTAAGGCCCTAACACAAACTTCCTTTGTTAAGTGCAGTCAATTGTGACCTTTCTCTTCTCTAAAATGATCATATATTGTCTATTGTGCTCCTTTAATGATCAAATAATATAGGTCTCTGGCATTTTAAGAAACACCTGTGAGCATAAACTATAAATACAGCTTGAACATCTATAATCTGGAAATCTGAAGTGCCCCAAAATCAAACTTTTGAGCACTCACATGATGCACCAGTGGAAAATTCTGTGCCTGACCCAATGTGATAAGTCACAGTCAGAACTCACATACACTAAAATGCTGTGCAAATTTACTTTCAAGCTATGTGCATAAGATGTATGTAAAACATAAATAAATTAACATTTAGATATCTCATTATGTATATGCAAGTATTCCAAAATCTGAAAAACATCAAAATCCAAAATACTTATGCTCCTAAGTATTTCCAGTAAGAGACACTAACCTGTTCAGGATAGGCCTGGTGGCATATGCCTGTAATCCTAGCAACTTGGAAGGCTGAGGCAGGAGGATCATAAGTTTGAAACCAGCTCGGCCAATTGAGGGAGATCCTGTTTCAAAATAAAATTTTAAAGGGCTGAGGAGGTGGTGCAGTGGTAGAGTACTTGACTAGTGTGTGCAAGGCCCTGGGTTCAATGTTCAAACCTTCAAAACAAATGAAAAACACCTTCAAATTCTGATGGGCAGAGGATTTATTGTATGTCATATTTCTTTTCATCACCTCGTGATGTTTATTTAGCACAGTGCTAAACATAGTAGGTGCTTTCTGTTCTATGAATTTCTGTAAGATTAAAACCTGTTGTATTTTGGTAGTCATATAACCCTTTAGATGAATCCATCTAGGCAAACTAGTCTGTAAAAATACTTAGGATGACTAGAAGAAGAAGAATTTTTTAAATATTGTATATTAAAATCACAGTTCCTTAAAGACTTTTTTTCTTGAAATCCTTAGGATCTCTTTTAAGCTTATTACTTTTTCCGGTTTGAGATAAACACCTTCCTCCCCCTTTCTCTGTAGAAAATTAAAAATTAAAATCAAAGGGAAGGAAAAAAAAATCTTCACATTTTTCAATCATACAAAGTTGTTAAGCTTTGGTTTCTTTCCTGCTAGACTTTTCACTGAGCACCTCTTGCCTTTTTTTAAGCTCATCTGACTGACATAAGGCATAAACATTTTTATATTATAAATTGTAAGTATTGTTTTTGTGCTTTGCATTATAGTCTATGAGTTTTAATTAAGCAAGAAAAATTGATGTAGGACGTCTTATTCCTGTTATTATTTATTCGTGAGTAAAAACAGTTTGACCAGCCTTTCATTTATTTTAGATTTGAAGATACCTATGTTTGGAACACAATAGTAAGACAGTTGATTACCATGGGACTATAAATAGATGATATTGTGATTTTTCTATGGTTTTATTTTTTGGAAGCATAAACCATACTATTCCTGGAAAATAAAAAATGCTAATCTTACAACTTAAAAATTGGAACTATATAATTTTGGCTTTGTGTACCTTATACACTAGTTATGTAATTTTGATTAGTCTGTGCATTGCCTGCAGCCATGACAAGAAAAATATGAGTTCATATATATCATTCCTTTAATAATTTTGCTTTTTATATTTATATATTTAAATTCATTTGAATATATTTTAAACATTTGAAGTTTTATTTTTAATTGCTGCATAAAAATGAAAAAATAGTATCTATTAGTGAGGTAGCATGTGATTTTTTAAGATTTTTATTTTTTTATGATACTTGAAATTGAACCCAGAACCTTTGCACTATGCACTGAGCTACTCTCAACGCTTTATTGTGAGACCCATTCTCACTAAATTGCTAGGTTGCCTAGGCTCAGCTTGAACCTGGCACCCTCCTGCCTCAGCCTCCCAGAGCACCACCACACCCAGTCCTCATATATCTTTAAATGAACATATTTTCTTCAATTTTAGGAAAAAATTCCAGGTAATCATGTATTTAATCTTAATGAAAAGTTGTTAAGGTGATATAGCCTGTGCAAACTTTATAATATTACTTTCCAGTTGCTATATTGTGAGGAAAATTGAATATAGAAGATATTTTGCCCTTAAGAAGACTGTAATTTGTTTAAAAAAACAAAAACAAAAACACTGCCCTTGTTTATTTTCTGTGTAGCTTCTGAGGTGGTTTTGGTATGCTACTTTGTTAAGCGATTGCAGATTTTTGGTGACACTAAAAGAAAACATTTTTTTTTAGTGTTACTCCCTTTACCCACGCTGATTGCGTGGCCCACCGTTTATTCACAGCAAGTTCTAGGTCTTCAGTGTGGGAGCTGATGCTGCCATAACTTTAGCAAGGCAGTGAGAAATAGGACAGTTCAAATTCAGCAGATAAAAGATTTTGGATGCCACATCTCCTTCTAAAAAATTAGGTTTTCTCTTCTAATAATCAGAACAAATATTATTTCCATTAAGTAAACAGTATCAAATTAGTTAATACAAGATCAGTAATTTCCTCCAATCTTAGAAACATGCTCTTCAAGCATCTGGTCACTGCCGCACTTGCTTGTGGACAAAAGGCTGTACAGCCACGTGTTGCTCCCATGGAGACTTTCTACTCTGAGGGGCAGTAGCTTGCACACTTCCATGCTAGAGGTTCTCTTCATGGTTTGACCTTGCAACCAGTGGTGCGCTTTTGGGAAGTGCCCCTGTGATCCAGGCAACACTCAGGACCTGTGTTTGCTTGATGACATAAAAGACATGCAGAAGAGTTGTTTCATGAGGCAGTCTCAAATCTGGATGTTCTGATTTCTGCTTCTGCATTTTTTTCCAGAAAAAAAAATCAAACTTGCAAGTAACTGTTACTAATAACAGTTAACATAGTTTGAAAACTACTGTGTGTCAAACACCATTGTGACCTTTGTGTTCTGTCACAGTCCTTATATAACGGATGAGGTTGGCACCATTATCTCTGAGGCTGGGTCAACTAGTCTGTGCCAGTAGCATTTAGAGTCCTGAGTCACCTTAGCAGTGGGACGGAAAGGTGCCTTGCATGGTCCGTTTGGTGGAGAACGATGGTGCCAGCTCTCTACCCAGCATCTAGCATTCATTTCTTCGGTGAGGCCAGACTATTATCAAAGTGCTCGGCACTGTTTGGAGGAGGCCCCAGTACCTGTGAATGAAAAGTAGGCCATCAGATGAACTGAGGGCAGGACAGGCTGTATGCACTGCATTATTGGAAAGGTCACTTTGTGAGAAAAGGCTGTGGAAGGTTTCTTAGAATTGCTGGGAATCTCGTAGGTTGAGTAGGGGCAGTACATTAGTCATTTCTTGGCATTATAATGAAATGCTTGTGCTGAGCTACTCATTAAGAAAAGAGATTTGTTTAGCTCACAGTTGTGGAGGCTGCAAGTCCAAAGAGCACTGCACAGGTTCTGGCAAGCGTTCCCTTAAGTCATTTCATCTTTTAGTGGTTGGCAGTGCTAAGAGCATATGCAGGAGCAAGCAACAGCATTGCAAACAGGAAGCCAGAGAGAGCTGGAGAAGAATGCACTCAGAGTCCCAGAGCAAATACTCCTTCTGAATTTATGCACCCAGGGTCCACCCACCACCTCCTGGTGCCGTCACCCTGGGAGCCAGGGCTTTAACCACAGAGCCTTGAAGGACCTTCCCACAGAGTCCATACTGCAGCATGCAGGCGAGCTCTGCATGAACAAAGGTGAAAACACTACGGGGTATCACAGGGTCTTGAGTGTAGATGGAGCAAGAGGATGATGGCCACAGGTTGGGAAGTCTGGTAGGAATGAGACTGAAGAACCCTGAATTCTAGACAGAGGTGTTGGACTTTATTCTGTAGGCTCTGGAGGGAAGTTTAGAAGGAATTGCTTGTTTGCAATTCCCTTTTCTAGAAAGGGTGCCCCGAATATTACTTTTTATCCATGACCATGGGTCTAAAATTGTCAGTGCTTATTTGTGAACTCTATTAAAAAAAGGGAAGGAATGCCAGGTACCGTGGCATAAAGCCTGTAATCCCTGTGCTCTGGAGGCTGAAGCAGGAGAATGACAAGTTGGAGCTCAACCTGGGAACTGAGTGACTTAGTAAGACTGTTGAAAAATTTTATAAAGCTGGCGATGTAGCTCAGTGCAGAGGCCCTGTGTTTAATCCTCAGTACCCCTACACACACACACACACACACACACACGCACGCACACACACAAATGAGTAAATTAATGCTGCAGAAGACCCATAAAGACTTTGCGTTTTTTACTTTCCCTTTTTCTACCACTCTAAAAATGAGAGTAATTAAAAATCTGTAATTTCTCTAGAGAAATAATTCAAATTGTTTCTTGGCCTTTTAGCTAAGATCAAGTATGGAGAAATAATTGAGAGTTCATTAATTTCTCATCTTTCCCTCTCTATATTGCATTCTGATATCTGAGGTGTGCTGATTCCTTGTTGTCCCAGGACAGTACCTCTGGTATCTGATCCCAGGGCATCAGCCACCTTCTCTAGATGAAAGGCATTCCCACGGTATTTTTAAGGCTGTCCTGTCCTTGCAAAGGTCGCTCTGTTTGTTCTGTCCTACTTTATACTGGTCATGTGGCAGAATCGAGGCTCACTCTGTGAATTGGCTTTGTGAGGATCGTGAGATAGCTGGTGCTGTTCTGCTTATCATTGGTCGCTTTCTTCTAGGGGGTCAGCATTTTATGCCTTTTCAGAAAAAGCTTTTTTTTTTTATTGGTACCTAACATAGGAAGGTGGTAATTAAAAAGAAGTAAATTGCTGCTTAAAGTTTTGTTAGTTTTGAGAGAGAGAGAGAGAGAAAGAGAGAGGGAGAGAGGACAGAGAAAGGACTTTTTTTGGTTTGCTAAGCGTACTTCTTTTCATGCCACACTCTGCATCTGCCGTAATTACATAGATTAGATGACTCTTATTCAAGTATAACACAACCTCTGACATTTCTAATGCCCAACAAAATGTCTGGCTGATTTTGCTTATGCCCCTTTGTGCATATGAGATGGATATATTTTATTTAGGAGGTCAGAATTTGGAAAAATACTGTTGAGGGCCAAGGATTTAGCTCAGTGGTTCCACTGCCTGCCTCGAAAGTGCAAGGTCCTGAGTTTGATCCCTGGTACCAAAAAAACAAAACAAAACTGTTGATCTCAGACCCTCTTGCTGCAATTAATAGAAGTTTATTGCCTTTGAAAGTTAAGAGTTTAGAAATTTTCTTTTCTTTGCTCTACAATCTAGGTGCCATTTGTAACAATTTTAAGCCTTTTCGTAAAGATGTTTTAGCCAGCTCTGTGGGGGATATTTTAATATGTAAAACAGTTGTGTTTGGGTAAGGGTGTTCTGAAAAATGTGAAAAGTTTGGGAATTAAACTCATAGGACCTTTTGGACATTTTGGAATCTTGAGGAGTAATAACCACAGCTGTGGTGTTTTTCCATTTTACTAAATGGCAAAAGGAAATAATCTAATATTCTGAGAAATGTGTAGCCAGTGTCCTACTTGAGTAGAAATGAATCTGTTAACTTTTTGATGTATTGTAGTGCGTTTTAAATACATGGAACCTCTTTGCTGTGTTACAGCACTACCTAAATGACTCCTTTCCAGTCCTGCAATGTGATCTGTGAAAGGTGTTGCTCTCACCTTCTGACATTTCATTGTGAATTTGCTGCCTGCTTTCCATAGGCGGACCTACGTTGGCAGCAACAACCCAGTGTTCCTGTTGGATGAGGTTGACAAGCTGGGGAAAAGCCTACAAGGTGATCCTGCAGCAGCTTTGCTTGAGGTAAAATTTAGAGAAGCCTCTGTTTATGGTCGCACCTGCAGAGTGGGAGTGAGAGTGGAACATGCGGGAGTATTACGCGTTAGAGTGTTGTGTCCATTGGTGTAAACAGTGTGGTATAACACAGAGTGAAGCCTGAAGCAGTTTGCCATTTAAACAAAAAATGTCCTGAAGGTTTTTGTTGTTGTTGTTGTTGCTGTTGTTTCTTTTCTTTTTTTCCTTTTATTTATTTTTTTGCAGTGCTAGGTATTGAACTCAGGACCTTGCCTTGCAAGGCAGGCATGGTGCCATTGAGCTAAATCCCCGGCCCTCTTTTTAAGTTTTTATTAATAATTTAACAGAATTTTATATTGCTTAATGTTCAGGGATCAGTAATTTTATAAGATTATTACAAAAAGCAGTAAGCAAATTTCCTACTTCCTGGGCTCCCATTTTCTCTTCTGCACTTAAACTCTTCATTGATTAGTTCCATTTTCTGAATAGCTTGTCTGCTTTGCTGCTTTTGATTTTTTTAATTTTTGGCATTATTTATAGACCGTCCTCTGTGGAAGTTGTGGGCTTTGCCTTTTCTTCTCTTTGTCCCCCTTACATCTTTTTAAACCCCAAATCATCCATTATAAATTTTAAGTCACCTTTGAGTCTTTACATGATCTTGTAAGTGCTTTTCACAGCTGAGCCATGTGACACACTGTGATCATTTTTCCTTTCCATTTGCTCTTTTGGTTTTTCTACACATGATTTTGAAAGTTTAATTGTTCCCTTTCTTCTGTTTACTTTCACCAACTGTCACATTCTTTTCAGAACTACGGCTGTTTTATGTGTCCTGTTGGGTTTTATCTTTAAGCTTCCAGTCTCTACTGTTTGTTTCTTTCATTTGATACATAGCTCTTCCTAGGTTCTTCCTTCATAGTTGCAATATGCCCCCTTATCTCTGAAAGATACTGATGTATTTTTGTCGTTTTTGTGTGTTTTTTTAAAATTTTGCTTCTCTCACTATAAGCTATTTTTATCTGTTTGTTGTATATTTCTTTTGATCCGGGTCTTTTATGTTAATCTTCCACTAGATTTCTTGAAGCTTTTATATATTCCTGTTTACTAGGAACAGAAAAGCTGAGTTGAAGCTGTGAGCACAGGAGTTGTACTTACTGGTTGAATTTCACAGCCAAATAGGAACTTCCTGTGTTGATAACTTCAGGTTTTTGTTCTCAGGCTGCTCAAATTCCTGAGAAGACTCTTCAGTGTTTCTTGAGAGTGCAGGCCTGCCAAACCTCTGTTTGGGGACCAAGTAGGAGATCAAGGTGGGGTGGGGTAGAAGTGTCCCTGTGTGTTCAGCCTCCACTTGTGGCACATTGGCCTCCACTTTGTTTCAGTACAATACATGCTCTTCCCGACCATGCCTGGCATGTGCTATGTAGAGAACACCACTTTATGTTCTCCATAGAGTAAACTCCAAGCCAGGCATGGTAGGGTAGTGCCTACTTGTAATCACAGCACTTGGAAGGCCAAGGCAGAAGGATCATGAATTTGAGACCAGCCTGGGCAACTTAGGCTAAAATCATCCTGGGCTACATAAACAGACCTTGTCTCGGAAAAACAAAACAAGAACAAAATTCAAACAAAACACAGTGAAAGTGAACCTTCAGTGTTTTACTTGAGTAGTGAAGGAATGTAGGACATACTTGCTTTATAAATTCATTTCAACCAGTCCTTTTTTTAAGCACCTTTGCCCCATCCCTTTTAAACTTGTTCAGTACATGTTACTAATTCAAATTGATTTTTAAAATCGAGGGAAATTTTACTTTATGAGTTTTTGGATTTTTCCTTGTTTATTTCTTGCTGTAGAAGTAGTGGAGGCTGATTAAGTACATATTA